CACCAAGCTTGACATGGAAGGCCATCTCCATCAGGCTTGTTCTCATCCATAGCCTTTGGAGAATTTGATATATCTGAATCAGAGATCTGCTGAAGCAATTCAAATGGATCATTGCTTGCACTACTTTCGTCCAAGACCATTGAGCCAAGCATGTGCTCTTCACTATGTAAGGAACTATATGCTGCAGCACTGTATAAACTTGGTTCCTTATCCACCAAATTTAACCCTTGCAAAACTGCATCACCTTCAAATTCTGCATCACTAATAGATAACTGGTTACCATTTTCATCAAATATCTGTATCCCAGAAAGCTCAGGAGAGCTCAATCCTTTACTTTTCAGATGCTCTTCATTCTTCACGTCTGTCATACTACCTTCTGCGGAGACATATTCAGCCTCTTTAACCACATTTTCAGTAAGAATCTCATTGTTTTCTTGTTCCAGTGGCAAATTCTCATGCTGACTTGGTGGATAGACAAAGTGACCAGACATAAACAATGCACTGGAAGTTTCAGCTTCATACTTCCCACTATCTTTATGCTCATCATTGGCATCCTCTTGTTTTGAACCAGGAGCAGAAGCAGCAGCAGCATATGCAGATGCAGTTAGTGATACAACCTCCCAATCATTTCCACGGGTAGCTGTCTCTTCAGTGTCCTCATTACTCGCCATTAATAGGAAAGCCTTTGCATGCTCAATTGAATATTAAAATAAGAGATTGAATAAGCACATAATATGGCCAAAATAATAAGTATAAAATGAATAGTATACATTAATTCCAAGGCTAATGGTAAACTGTAAGTGTGTCGGTTGTTCCATGAGTCCATGACAATCTGTGCATTTAGACCCAACCAAGATGAAGAATTAACTTAAAAACATTATTCTACAACATTCAGGTGCAATACCAGCCATTTCTATAAATTACAAGGAAGTCCAACGGCGTTCATGTTTACCAAATCAGTGAAGCTCTACTTTATTACTCTAACAAATTCATCTTCTAGTTTCCTTGACCACCAACTAAGCCCTAAAATTAAAGCTACGAAACACTCTGATTTGTTATCAAACTAAGAGAGAATCCAATAGTAATGCGGAGTAATAATAACAACAACAATAAACCTAAATAAATGAACACACATATTCGACGAATGCGAGGTACTTGTATCCACAGTTGTACACACAGACACATGCATATATCTGCTGTCTGTATCCGCTCATAAACATATACAGATTTTATAGAATCGGACACAGAAATGGATCCAAAACTTCGTTGAAGCAACCGATTAATCGGAAGCAAAATAATAAGAAATTGAAGTCTCCAGATGATCAGATTATCCAATCAGATATATCAACAAAAAAGATACACACATCTAATCAAAAGAGAGGATTAAGAAGTTGTACTTACAGAAGTTAAAAGCAGAGAGATCGGAGCGCCGGTGAGGAGACGAGAATGATTGGAAACTGTCTCGAAGAATGCAAGAGAGAGAAAGATTTATATAGTGGAAGATTTTGGAACAAGAGATAATGGAAGTGGAGTACCGGTTATGGTGTCGTGTTGAGAGTGTGAGAGTGTAGTTGAGGCTTTGAGAGTTGAGAGGAAAGCAGGAATTAGTAAACCGTTTTACCGGCTGGGAAAGGAACGGCGTCGTTTACTGCTATGGGCAAAGGGTGGCTGCCAGTCAGTTGCTGTTGCTTGCCTGAGGAGAGAAGCATCGACTTCTACGGCTCGCCTGAGGAGAGAAGCATCGACTTCTACGTCTCTCTCTCTCTCTCTCTCTCTCTCTCTCTCTATCTATCTATCTATCTATATATATATATATATATATATATATATATATATATATATATATATATATATATATTGAGGAGAGAAGCATCGACTTCTACGTCTCTCTCTCTCTCTATATATATATATATATATATATATATATATATATACTAGTAATTGACCCGTGCGATGCACGGATATAATTAGAAAATTTGTTTGTAAAATTTGTTTGTAGCATTTTAATTAATCAAAAATGAATTTATTTATTAGACGCCAATTACATTGAATATATTTGAAGAACAAAAGAGAATATGAAGAAGATTTTAATAATATTAAACTACTTGACATTCTATATTACATTATGTAAATAAAAAAATATTAAACATTATTAAACACTTCAAGGTAAACGACGTTAGTGGTTGACATACTAACTACTAACATTGTTCAAGTCATTACAAATAAAAATCTTCAATCCGTTAGGATTACTCTTATAGCAATCTGTACTTAAATGCTTGATTTTGTCCATAATTAAGCAAGTATTTTACGATGTTATAAAGTTGTGATAAATTCATATCATGTAATACAAAATTAATAATGTATATGACATAAAAAATGAACAAAAGTTAGAATACATAATTAATAATTAAAATAAAAAATATAAGTATATTAAATATAAAGATAAAGATCGGTATATAATTAGGATTATATATATCTATATATATATATATATATATATATATATATATATATATATATATATATAGAAGAGCGCTCATATGCGGCGGGGTCTTACGGTGCGGCGATGCGGTCAAATTTCAGAATACACCAATAGTGTTAACAATATGCACCAACAGTGTAATAAAAACACACCCCAATGAAATGTAATAAAACATCACAAAATACACCACAGACTCAAAAAAACACACCATATAACTCACCACCTCCAATGGTGTATTTCCGAACAGTATATGGTTTTTTACTCACACCTAATGGTGTGTGTTTGGTGATGTAGGGCTCTATTTACTCTGTTTTGTGTGGTGTATTTCCTAACGTTGATGGTGCATATTTGGTGAACTATTGGTGTTGCCGCACCGTAAGAAATAACCGCACCGTAAGACACTGCCGCACCTGAACCCGCCTATATATATATATATATATATATATATATATATATATATATATATATATATAATTTGAAAATTTGTTTGTAAAATTTGTTTGTAGCATTTTAATTAATCAAAAATGAATTTATTTATTAGACGCCAATTACATTGAATATATTTGAAGAACAAAAGAGAATATGAAGAAGATTTTAATGATAAAAAACTACTTGACATTCTATATTACATTATGTAAATAAAAAAATATTAAACATTATTAAACACTTCAGGGTAAACGACGTTAGTGGTTGACATACTAACTACTAACATTGTTCAAGTCATTACAAATAAAAATCTTCAATCCGTTAGGATTACTCTTATAGCAATCTGTACTTAAATGCTTGATTTTGTCTATAATTAAGCAAGTATTTTACGATGTTATAAAGTTGTGATAAATTCATATCATGTAATACAAAATTAATAATGTATATGACATAAAAAATGAACAAAAGTTAGAATACATAATTAATAATTAAAATAAAAAATATAAGTATATTAAATATAAAGATAAAGATCGGTATATAATTAGGATTATATATATATATATATATATATATATATATATATATATATATATATATATATAGAAGAGCGCTCATATGCGGCGGGGTCTTACGGTGCGGCGGTGCGGTCAAATTCCAGAATACACCAATAGTGTTAACAATATGCACCAACAGTGTAATAAAAACACACCCCAATGAAATGTAATAAAACATCACAAAATACACCACAGACTCAAAAAAACACACCATATAACTCACCACCCCCAATGGTGTATTTCCGAACAGTGTATGGTGTTTTTACTCACACCTAATGGTGTGTGTTTGGTGATGTAGGGCTCTGTTTACTCTGTTTTGTGTGATGTATTTCCTAACGTTGATGGTGCATATTTAGTGAACTATTGGTGTTGTCGCACCGTAAGAAATAACCGCACCGTAAGACACTGCCGCACCTGAACCCGCCTATATATATATATATATATATATATAATTTGAAAATTTGTTTGTAAAATTTGTTTGTAGCATTTTAATTAATCAAAAATGAATTTATTTATTAGACGCCAATTACATTGAATATATTTGAAGAACAAAAGAGAATATGAAGAAGATTTTAATGATAAAAAACTACTTGACATTCTATATTACATTATGTAAATAAAAAAATATTAAACATTATTAAACACTTCAGGGTAAACGACGTTAGTGGTTGACATACTAACTACTAACATTGTTCAAGTCATTACAAATAAAAATCTTCAATCCGTTAGGATTACTCTTATAGCAATCTGTACTTAAATGCTTGATTTTGTCCATAATTAAGCAAGTATTTTACGATGTTATAAAGTTGTGATAAATTCATATCATGTAATACAAAATTAATAATGTATATGACATAAAAAATGAACAAAAGTTAGAATACATAATTAATAATTAAAATAAAAAATATAAGTATATTAAATATAAAGATAAAGATCGGTATATAATTAGGATTATATATATATATATATATATATATATATATATATGTATATATATAGAAGAGCGCTCATATGCGGCGGGGTCTTACGGTGTGGCGGTGCGGTCAAATTCCAGAATACACCAACAGTGTTAACAATATGCACCAACAGTGTAATAAAAACACACCCCAATGAAATGTAATAAAACATCACAAAATACACCACAGACTCAAAAAAAAACACCATATAACTCACCACCCCCAATGGTGTATTTTCGAACAGTGTATAGTGTTTTTACTCACACCTAATGGTGTGTGTTTGGTGATGCAGGGCTCTGTTTACTCTGTTTTGTGTGGTGTATTTCCTAACGTTGATGGTGCATATTTGGTGAACTATTGGTGTTGCCGCACCGTAAGAAATAACCGCACCGTAAGACACTGCCGCACCTGAACCCGATATATATATATTATAGACTAATTTATAATGGGCTGATTAGTAAATACTTTAATTTTAATGGACCATCAGCCCATATATATTTCACAGCCCAGCAAATAATTTAGCCTAAGTATAAAAAAGGCATCCAGCACGTTTTAGGCAACTTTCACCATTTCCCCCAATTATCTTCCTCTCATCTCTCATCTCTCATCTCTCATCTCTCATCTCTCATCTCATATCATTGTTATCAATCTCACTCTACCCGTACCCATTTGGAAATCACTTCATTCTCTACCACACCACAAATTTTATTGAATTTCCGTAAGAACAACATCGTGGATGAACTGTTCGTTTGTTGGTTCCGTAAGGTGCGCATTGAAATAGCAGAGAAGAACACATACTCTGCACATCGCCATAGCAGCTTAATGATCCGAGCAACAAACTTCGGCAACCATGGCGATACAGAGAGCTTTCATAAGAAACAGTAAGTTTTGATGATTTTCTACGGGTAAAAAACAATTTACAGATCAAGATCTAAATCCTAAGTTTGTTTTTTATATTTTATTTACAGATCTAACTACTACGGCAAAAAAGAAAAAATAAAAGAAAAAGATAAGAAGGAATACAACTCAATATCTACTCTAGAAACATTCCTAGATGCACATGCAGACGGTTGACGAAGTATAAAATCTTCGTCGTCCATGGTTGATACAGACAGTGTTCTTAAGATCTGGTAAGTTTTAATTATTTTCTTAATATTTTTTAATGTTTTTCTACTGTTAGACTGTATTTAGACATATTTTCCTTAATACTTTTAATATTTTTCGTCTTTTGGCCCGTATAATGGTTGAGCCACATATCATTTTGTTGCTGTGATAACTTTGTACTATTTTAAAGCTAAATGTTTTTCAATAATTATGGCCACTCCAGAATTATTTAAGTAATAATTGTGGAAAGTGTAAAAGTTGTTAGGCTACTTAACTATTCAATTTTTATTGAGCCTGCAAAATATATGCTACATTTGTGTGTCTGAGTATGTTGCTTATACCATTTTTCAAGAAAATGGCAGATGATGACATTCATAGTTTTACATTTCAGAAAAAATGTTTCTCAAAATCTTACACTTCTATTCTCTGTACGAAATATACAAATAAAATGCAATGAAGTTCCTGTTTCTACTCTTGTATGTAATTAATTACATGATTTACCTTCGAGACTTTTAATCTTGTAAAGAAATTGCTATTTATTTTATTCTTTACTTTGGAAGGAGGAATAGAGATAGCAATCAATGTATTCATCTTTCTTATTCAAATTGCAATTTAGGCCAAGAAGACATAGAAAGAGTCAACATTGAGCTGGATTGAGCAGTTGACTGAAGAAGCTGAGCCAGGTAAACCAAAGCTTCAAAGATGGCTAGATAATTTTGGGGTGCAATATGGCAAATAAGGTTGTGGTTTTTCTGTCCATTTCAGTAATTCTGTTGCTGTGATTAGAACATTTTGTTTTCAGGAGACCCTTCTTTAGTAACTTAGGTTATTCAAATGCTTTCCTGCTAGGATTTTAAAAGAGTCGTTATAAAGATTAGTCTAAAAAGGATAGCAAAATCCTTAACTATTAAGAATTTTAAAAATTCTCAAAGTTTATTAAAAAAATAAAGCCAAACATGTCTTCAATGTTTGAAGGGACCAGTACCGAAACACCAAAACAATGATTCAGCTTAAAATTTCTTTAAATGTCAATTTGCATAATCAAATGTGTTCATTGGTAGTTTCTTTGAAGAGGTCTTGCTTGAGAAAAACTCATCTAATAGACAACGCTTTGACAACTCCCCGAGTCTAGATCCTCAACATCGTTTGCAGTCCCAATTAAGGCCACTGGATCTCACCCTCACCTTCTGAAAGAAACTCCTGAAAAAGAAAGCTTTATTAATTTTAATATAGGATTAAGACATAGATTTGAATTGATAAAGTAAAAATATTTCAATTTTACCTCATCTTATTCAAAAGAGTCATTAGACTCCAGCTTAGAAGTTGGATCACTGTCAAAGTTTTTCAATAATTCAGGATAGTAGGAACCAACCAATGAATGATCGTTAATAATCTTCATAACAGCGAAGGCATTAGGAAGCTGAAATTGTTCTTTTCTCAAGGAAATCTTAAAAATCAGTGTCATGGAACACAACGATGAAATCTCATTTGGGAATAGTTGTTTATCCTATAAGTCAAGAATTAGATATAGTTAATAGTACAATAAGCTTTAGACTTTGAAAGTAAACGCATTTAATAAGTAATTGTGCATTACTTGTGGATATTTTCCTCTCAGTTCTATAGCCGACATGCCTATCAATTCCTTACACTCACTGTCACATAAAAGGAATGGTGCATTACCACCCCTGTCAACAACTCTCACTTTAATTCTGTACCTCAAAATACCTTCTCCCCATGTTCTTTTACACTTGTAACAGTCATAGAATCCTTTCGTATTCAAGGAAAGTTTCTTGTTACATCCTCGTGTCTTGCATGAGTTATAACAGCAGTCCAAACCACTTTCTATTCCAACAATCTTCGTGACAACCCAATAATCTCCAAACTGGATATCAATAAAAATAAAAAGTCAGTCTAGAAGACTATTGCTTATATTATAATAAGTAATGGACTTTAGAATAAACATATCTGTCTTTTCTCATACACATCACTTATTGTACTCATAATTATAGACTCACGGTTGAATGTGTCAAAAGTATTGGCAGCAGATAGACTTGCATTAGAACAAATACTCCGCATAGGAGTATTCTCACCACACATGCTAAAGTGAACACAACAGAAATTAAGAATAAAAAAACTCACAAACTCGAAAAATTTGAAGACTCAATGATAGTATTTACCTTTCCCTAAAATCAATTATTTCAGGAATGTCTTCATTTATAAATAATTGAGTCGCATCATATGAAGATGAAATTTTAGTTTCCCCAGCTATTGAAAAAGATAGAATAATTTGTATTAATGAAATAATAAAAAACTACATAGGCTATAAAATCAAGTAGAGATGTGAACTTACTGTTGAAGCAGGTTTTTACCCTACAAAATTGCATCAAAATAATGATAGGATCAGTGGCACTTTTTTTGTACCAAGAATCGACCTTATCAACATAGTCGTCCCAGACAGTGCATTTCATTTCCTCACCACTAAAGACACAAAAACAGTTCAGTATCCAAAAAAAATTAAGATTACAATAAAATTGTGAACTAACACATAATAAACCTTTCATCCTCCATAAGAAAGTCTATCAACCGGGAAGGCCTTCCACCAATGACCTTTTCTATAGGAGAATATATTTCAATTATCCTTCCAATCACATCTACAAAAAAAAAAATAGAAAGTTACAACTTACAAAGAATCAAATCCAATATAAATACGAATGCAGTATCAAAAAAAAAAAAGTAATGAAGTAGATTAGTTACCAATAAGTTCTTTGTCGTCTATCTCAGTTGATTTCAAAGATTTAAAACTTCTCAAACGAAACATGTGCCTAGGAAAATATTGATTTTTGTACTCCTTGACAATGGTAGAATAGTTTAACTTGACCATAAATTTGTTATTGCTACTCTTATAAGTATAAAAGTTAGTAACAACCAGAAAATTTTTTAGACAACAAACTTTGCCTTCAACGAATCTATTATGGAATTTAGCAACATGCTCACGTGGTATATTAGCATGTAAGACATTACCCTGCAATTACATTAAAAAAGAATTTATATTATTGTGATTTTGCAAATTACCCTGCAATTGATGAATTTATTTTCATAGATTAGATGCTTACCTCCCGATCATGGAACACGCATTCTCGACATTTGACAACCTCACTGCCGCTACATTCTCTAACTCCATATGCACGAATACATCTTACCTTCAATGCACAAGTGGTTTTCATGGGTGTTATCTGATTGACCAAAATGTAGAGAGGAGGCATACTTGAACTGGTATTTTTGACTGATCTAACAAAGTGTTTGTAGTGATGTGGAATTACCGGGATGTATATAAAATGATATTAGACTCCTTTTATAAACCATGAATTAGAGTTCTATTATAAATGTTTATTTGGGATTCTTTATATTCATACTAACGTTTTGGAATCCCAAAGGAATGAGGATTCATTGAATAATATATATATATATATATATATATATATATATATATATATATATATTGCAAGAAATATGAAGTGCAATAAATAAATATCGTTGCATCCTTATTAATTTGTTCTTTTAAATATATCCTATAATATTATTATGTATTTGATTTGAATTCTGAACAGACGTGGGATTCGGAACAGACACGGCATTGAATTTGTAAATTTGTATATATATATTTTATATTCTGAACAGACACGACTATTAATTTGTTCTTTTAAATATATCCTTTAATATTATTATGTATTTGATTTGAATTCTAAACAGGCGTGGGATTTTTTACAGACACAGCATTGAATTTGTAAATATATATATATATATATATATATATATATATATATATATATATATTATTCTGAACAGACACGGCATTAAATTTGTAAATGTATATATATTTTATATTTTATTATTTTTTTATTACTTTTGGCGGAAACTATGAGTTCTGCTTTATTATAATAGAAGATATATATATATATATATATATATATATATATATATATATATGAGCTAAATCCTATAAAAGATCAGAATATTCCGGCAAAAATTTTTATACCAAATAAAACCTCATATGATTGAAGGTATAAATGTGAACTAAGGGAACAAATTTTTGTTCTAGTATTAAAGTTTAGTACAAGTCATTTAGAGTAATACCATCTGAGGTCCTACGAGTATAGTGGTCTTGTCACGTTTAGTCCTAAATTTTCAAATTGATCATCTGTGGTCATTCGATTTTTAAATTTAACCATTCTTGGTCTAAGTTAACCACCCATGGTCCTTCAACTTTCAAAATTTAACCAGCCGCGGTCCTCTTGAAAAGATCATGGTTGGTTAAAATTTAATAGTTGAGTGACCATTGGTGGTTAACTTGGACCACGAATGATTAAATTTGAAAATCGAAGGACCATATATGGTCAATTTGAAAGTTTATGACTAAACGTGGCAAAACCACTATACTCGAAGGACCTCGGATGGTATTAACTCAGTCATTTATATAATTTGTCTACAACTTAGATAGCTCAGGCCGCTCGACAATAAACCACCTCTAGTTTTTTTAAATATTTCGTCAGGTTATAATAGTCTCAATAAACTAATTCATTACCTAATAGAGTAGTGTGTTGGGGCCAACATTGAAGCATACTCAATTACTGCTAAGGCAAGGCTAGACTGAGGACAAGTTGGTGTTGGGTTGTGTCCAACCTTCTCTAAAGGCCAAACTAGCAACCAATCATATTTATCATGTCAATAAGATTATTTTAGAGTTAATACCCAAAAACGTCCTCGACTATAGTGGTTTTTCTCAATTTCGTCCTAAACAACTTTGGTGACCTAGTATCGTCCCAGACTTTTGTGTTTCGCTCAATTTAGTCCCAGACTTTTGTGTTTTTGCTCAATTTAGTCCCTCATTTGTTATTCTGTCCATTTGGTGTTAAATAAATAGACAATTCAATAATTTTAATATTGGCATCTCTTTACTCATAGACATGTGAACTGCGAAATCATTTTTTTTTTTTACGAATTACTCCCAGAATTACTCCTAAAACTGCGAATATAAAATTTGATTTGCAGGTCCGGGAGTAATTCTGGGTGTAATTCGTACAAAAAATAGGAATTTCGCACTTCACAAGTTGAAAGTAAAGAGAGATCAATATTGACATTACTGAATTGTCCCTTTATTTAACACCAATTTGACTGAATAACAAATGGAGGACTAAATTGAGCGAAACACAAAAGTCTGGGACGATATTAGGTCACCAAAGTCGTTTAGGACGAAATTGAGAAAAACCACTATAGTCGAGGACGATTTTGGGTATTAACTCGATTATTTTATTGGTTAATTTTTTTTTTAAAAAAATTATAACTAATTAGATTTTTTTTTTTTAAACAGAAGGTATAATAGAACAATTTGTTTTTTCAATTTTTCTACCGATTGAGTGTCATGGATTATGTCTCCTTCTTGTCCTGGTGACGAGTCTTGCCGTTGTTCTGCCAGTATGGCGTCATCGTCGTACAGTTTATTAGAGCTTGTGCATCCCTAACGTTGGAGGAGGTGGAAGAAAGGGGGTTTGGTGTTTGGCGTTGAGGAGGTTGTGGCGGAGACAAAGAGTTTTAAGTACACGACAGTGGGAAGATTGCTAATTGACCACCCGATCAAGTTCCACGTGAAAAGGGATACTATGGCTGGGGTGTGGAGGCTAGGGAGATGGGTCACAATCAAGGAGTTGCAATATAATATGTTTTTATTCTAGTTTTCTCATGAGTTTGGCATCTCTAGGGTTATGGTGGATGACCCCTAAGCCTATGAACAAAATCTAATGGTGATGAAGTGCCTCCATGATAATTAATCTCCTCTAACTGTACCTTTGACGTATATTGAGTTCTAGGCCCAAGTGCATAACATACCTATGTCATATCAGAGAGGGCGGCGGAGGCTATAATGAAGTACGCTGGGAATTTTGTCAATGCCATCTAGAATAATTTTGACAGCTTGTGAAAGAGCTTCATGAGGGTCCGACTGTCCATTGATGTGGCAAAACCTTTGAAAAGAATAATGAAGCTGAAAAGAGGAGGGAGAGTGGTTCAAGGTTGACTTTAGACTACCAACATTCTACTTTATGTGTGGAATATTAGGACACTCGGAGAGGTTATGTGGGAAGAACTTCGAGGGTGGTAATGGCGAAATGGAGAAACCATGCGAGTCATGGCTTCGGGCGTCCGACCGAAGGGATCCAACGTTGGTGGGCAATAGTGATTGGACAACGACCCACCATTACGGGTCGATGGTAGGGGTGTAGGAAATTAGGGGCGAATCTTTGAATAATCGATATTCTGGGGAAGGGGTGTTGAAAAGGAATCGGCAGATAATTTGGGGTGTGAGAAAAATCAAGATTCAGAGGTGATGGGATGAAAAATCTATGGGGTCATTTACTAACTTGGAAAAATGGAGGATTTTCCAGAAAAATGAAGAATTGAAGAAGTGGAAAAATGAAAATTGGAAAACTTGTTTACTAAAATCATTCTTCCAAACTCTTACTCTATCTCCATTCTCCATATTTCTTAAGAATTTTGGAGAAAGAAAAAACCAACTTCTCTATTTGGAGGAATGGAAAGACACGCGTGAACAGTGTCATCTTTGAAATCCAGGGATCGATTCCTACTAGGTGCGTGTCCCTTTTCTCCTCTTCTCCTTGCTGAGTTGCTCACGGTCATGCATTCTCATTATTATTATACTTTTTCTTTTTCTTTTTTCTTTTCCCCTCATCCTTATTGTTATTACTAATTACTAATTAAACTTTTATTATCAATAAATTATTATTATCATTTTTTCTTTTTCTTTTTTTCCCCTAATCCTTATTGTTATTACTAATTAAATTATTATTATCATTTTTTTCCCTCAACCTTATGCACACCAATTTGTATTTATTATTATTATTATTATTATTATTATTATTATTATTATTATTATTATTATTATTATTATTATTATTATTATTATTATTATTATTATTATTATCTTTGTTGTAGAAATGTACAAATAATATATGGGATGATTGTATTTTTAATCTAAAAACATAATAAGTGTGAATGAAAATTATACTATTCATTTATGTTCATTTTTTTCGTTAAATTTTTTTTTATACATTATGCAATAAAAGTTGTATTATATAATATTTTGGGCAAACATACCATTACCGTTATAACTTCTATTATCTTTTCCACTATTGTTACTATGTACATGCATCCACCATATATTTTCTTATATTCTTCAACAATATATATATATATATATATATATATATATATATATATATATATATTGGAATTATATGTTAGTTATTTCCTAACATATATATAAATATCAAATTTATAAAAATATTTTACATTATTATTATTATTATTTACAATAATTTAAATATCTAAAATCTAAATAAATTTAAAATTTTAATATAAAGTACTAATATTTGGCCCCTATTTTTTGTGCATCGTGCATAAAAATACTAGTAATAAAATAAAAATTTAAGAAATTAAAAACGAGAGGAATGGAGAAATAGAAAACTGGAAGAACGGAGAAGGAAAACTAGAAGAATGGAGAAGGAAAACTGGAGAAATGGAGAAATGGAAAACTGGAAATGGAAAAACAGAGAAATGAAGTAAACGACCCCTATTTGTTTTACCATTGACTATATATATAAGAACCTTTTAGAAGGAGCTTGAATTGTATAGCATAGAGGCTCTCTCTTGCGCACAGGAGGTGCAAATCAAATATCAAAATGAGGATGAACAGGCTTGACTCGTGTACGCCGGCACTACAGGCATAAATGTCGTCCTAAAATTGGTTGGCCTTACGGGCTAAGTTATGCCAATTCAACTCTTCGGATGGGACTACTCGGACCGAGGAGTCAGTTTGAATCTTCAATTTGACCAAGCAGTTAAATGCTCGTACGTAACTTATATTGTTCGTGGGGGGCCCTTAGGGTTGGGGTTCAACCTTTTGGAAGAAGAACTAATCTTTGAAGTACCATTCTTGAAGATTTAATTCGAACTCTTCGAAATTAATTTCAATTTTCAATTTTTAATTTTTAATTCTAGAATTAAATTCCAGGTTAATGTGTTGAAGGTTACAAATTGGTTTTTTTAAACTAGTGTTAATGCTATTTATTTCTCCATCTCCTATAAAAGCCTTGATGTTGGATAGATTGTTAGCTGCTGGATTTTGAACATTCAAAAACTTATCTTTTTATCTTGCTCTCAAATTCAAAATCTTTTCTTACAAATTTCTGCAACACTTCTAAAAAGTCGAAATGCTCGATCTTTGTTCTAGTTCGCCAGACTTTTTGTTTAAATGCTCAAACACTAAAATTGTAATCCATTTTATCCTAGAAAACTAACGCTACAACGCTACTAGCACCTAGGGGTGTAAACA